CTCAGACTTTTGGAAACAATTGTAACTTATAATATTTATATGAATTAATGTATAAAATTTAAAAAAAATTAAAAATAATATTATTAATTAAATATAAATTACTTTAATTAAAAATTATTTTATAAAACTAAAATATTTATTTTAATATTTTTTTATGTTTTTTAAATAAATAAATTTTACATTATAATAAAAATTTTAATTTTTTAAAAAATTTAGTCATATTTTTTTGTCCTTTACTATACATATTAAAAAAGACTTTAGATAATATAATTTAATTAAAAAATTTATTAGAGATTTATAATATTTAAGAAAAAAGAATTCAATAGATAAAATCTTAAGTTAATTATTTTAGATAGTTGATTTTTATATTTATAATTGAATATCAATTATTTAATAATTAAAGTAATCAAAATAATCAAATTTATCAGATTTGTCAAATTAGAATAATATATTGGATTTATTTATATAAATAAGATATGATAATAGAATAAAAAATTAAATAATATGTATTATATAAATTATTATTTTGTTCTAATAATTGGATCTATCTTATAAACTAATGAGATATATCTTGTATTATATATATTATATAGCCTAAAATAAAATAAAATAAAATAATAAACAAGAATTATGAATAATAACTAAAGAAAAATCTAGTTATTAATTAAGTTCAACACTATATTTATTTTTTATTTTTTGATAATAAGTTATATATTTATTAAAATTTATTGACGAACTTATTTTTTATTTATTTGAATTTTTTTTTTTATATTTAGGATTAATTTTTTTTCAAAAATTGAGAATTGGCAAAAAAAATTTTTTTTTTAGTTTTAAATTATTCAATTAAAACTAGTAAAAATAATTTTTAGCTTTAAATTATTTTTTAAATTATTATTATATTTTTATTTTATAATGTATTTATTTGATAATTTAAATATTTTATAATATTTAATAATAATAAATTGTTAATAATAATTTTTAAATTAAGAATTAAAAGATAAGATAAAAAAATGAAAAATAAAAAATATATATTATTTTTAAAATTAAATTTAAAATATTTGATTTTAACTTTATTTTTTTTGACTCAAATTAATTTAATTAATTTTTTAACGTTACAATAATACTTTCATTGATAGTAATAATCAACTTATTTTTATATAGTATATTTTATTATAAAATTAAATTATTAAAAAATATTTGTTTGATTTTATTTATTATCAAATCATAATAATGCAATTATAGATGAAATAAACTAAAAATAAAATAATTGTTATTTTTATTAATTTAAATTAGTATTTAAAAATCAATTATTACTTATATACAGTACGTATATCTTTTAAAAAGTTGATACTATTTATTATAAACTTATAATAAAATGAAAATTTTCAATTATCCATCATGTTATTTTTGTTGCTATTTTAATAACGTTAATTAAACACACATATTTTTTTTTTCAATTTAGTTGATCGGAATTAAAATTAAATGCAAAGAGTAAATTTAAATCGCGTGTTGATAATATTAACAATAAGTAGTTAATAATGTACAGCATGTTGTGTTTGTGTGTTTTTTTTTATTTAACCATTTGATAATAAATCAGTTGATCAACTCTTCTTGCGCGACGTATAGATCACGTGAAATTTTGCTACCAGAAATGTACTTTTGTGTAGGTTCGTGATGGAAGTGCTTTCCCTTTTACATGCTAACAACATCCTCGGAAGCATAATCCCATCTCCTTTCTTTTTCACCAAGATCTCACTGCAATTGTTAATATGGCGCAGAAATTAAAAGTCCGCGCACTTGTAATTCGTCAAGATGTTACCTCACGCATGAATGCGATGGTCCCTGGTTTGTATACCTCTTTTTTGATTATGTGAACTTCGATCTTGGTATGGTGGGATGAGTGAATTGCGTTGAATTAATTAATACGACACAAAGTCGGATTGCACGCCCGGAAAATAAAGGGTATGTGTCACTCGAAATTTTTGAAAAATTAATTCCGGCAAGTGATTGGAGTGCAGTCACGCTCATTACGCGATAAATCACCCACCCTGGGATTTTAAAGATTTTAAGAAAGAATCATTTGTCAGAAAAACATTGTTTCTAGTTAATCTCAACACTGCTCTAAACCCGAAATCAGTCAGGTGCACTCGGATATAAAAGTGTAGTGATCTTTCTTAAAAGTGTTTTGGCTGCTCCGTCATTCACTAGAGTGACCTGCCGACACACGAACGTTGTCACGTGATATAAAATACGTTAAAATTTCAGTTAGACCGTTTTAAACCAAAATTTAGGCGTCAAAGTACAATCGGCGATTTGATAAATTACTATGTAAACAAAAAGAAAATATTCTAGGAATAGATTTTGATAATACCAAGTATTGGATACTAAAAGTTTTCCGGGAGCTCTAAATCATATACTTTAGAATCAATGACTGTGAATGAAATTAGAATGAAGTTTAGTGGAGGAATATGTTTATGAATATAAACCAAACTTATTTAAAAAAGCGTTTACCACTCGAACCGAAACTCGAACTCGAACTAATATTAGAGCTCGAATTCGAACTAATATTGGAGCCCGAACTCAGATATTGAGGTGATATCGAAAAATTTAATGGCCGGCTTATATAAATCGCTTCAGGATGAGTATCGTAAATCATTTTACGACTGTCAACATTACGTGCATTGGCCATATTCTGTTCAATTTCTCTGACCTGATCCCAAAATTCTTCATATTCTTTGGATTCGTATATTCCGAACCATTTTCCAAATTGATACTTCAATTCTTGGGAAGTTGGTCGATTAGCGGGGTCGGAATCCCAACATCGTTTGGTTAATCGAATAAATAATTTTGGTGTAATATTTTGTATAACTTGTGGACGCGAACCCTGACAAATACTTAGAGCTAGATTGGGATCATGCGGAATGTCTTTGTAAGGTGGCAGACCGGTTGCCACTTCGTTCATAATAATTCCGAACGAGTAGATATCCGCCGGTTGCCTATATTCACGTTTACACAGAACCTCGGGAGCGAGGTAAGGTAGGGATCCAATAATCTTTTGTTCTTCTTTTCTTTCTTTTGAGGAATCTAAGACGATTGGTTTGCATAAACCAAAATCGGTGATGCACGCGTCTTCGAAATCAAACAATACGATATTTCCACCATGAAAATCACGATGGGTGAACCCCGCATTGTGAATATCATCAAGTCCCTTGAGAGTTGTGTACAATATTTTAAACTTTTGATACCAGTCTAACGAATGGAAATTTTTATCCAAATACTGACGAAGGCTTCCCTCTTCAGCAAACCGCATAACCATCATGAAATCACCAGATTTTGGATCTTTGGTTATTCCATAACACGGAATGACTCGGTATCCCCTTTTCACTGATATTGATTTCAGCTGACTTTTGATCTGGGAAATTTAAAATGCATGAGCGTGAGGTATTTTTGTAAACATAAAAACCACACCAAAATGATTTGATAACTTTACCTCGTCAAAAAATCCCGAATATATTTCCTTAGAATTATATAACCTTTTTAAAACAACTTTGGTATCACCTAGAAGTCCCCCACGCCTTGACCAGTCCTTCTTTTTTTCATCCCATTTATAAATATAACCCTGTTTCCACGTAGCCCTATAAACCTCTCCGAAACCGCCTTGAGAAAGATAGGAGACATCTGTAAACTCTTCGTAAGGAATCCACTCTAACTTTTGGAAGTGGTCGGAAGCAGTAAGCTGTGTCTCTTGAATAAATTTGTCAATAACGGCGTTTCCACTTGACCAACAACTGAATTGTTGTTGAAAATGTTGTGCGTTGCAAGATGCGCACCAGAACCAAATATCTTCGGTCTCTCGCTGTTCTCCACATTCCTCACACGCGTGGAGCATACTAACGGGAATATGCTATTAGTAGAAAAGAACTTGTTCATGAGGAATAATATTTAATCGGAGAGTTTGTAATATGAGATTATTGATGCCATAAAAGGAATCTTTGTTACGTAATTTCATGAACTAGAGCTTCAAAACAGAACTCTGATGCGAGTCATGGTTACACCAGCGTTTTCTGAGGACGAGCGTTCCGTTCCGAGGTAGGTCAATAAGCCAAACTCGAATATTACTTGTATCTCGAATTTTTCTTCGGGTTAAAAGAAGGTTTTGAATTAAAACAATGAATATAACTCATTGCATTTTTGACATGGATGGTTAGTTCTTTTCCTTTCGTATCATACGGACTTTCTTTTCCTTTCCTTTTCCTTTTTATCATACACATATAATAAATATATGCGTCGGTTCGGTCGGTACAGGTTTACTACTGGTAGGCCTGAATTTTTCAAAGGGACAAATCTTCGGTAAGAGTTTGCCCTAAGTGGTCATCTTGTTAATTCACGATTTAACAGGACACAGAGCGAATCTACTCCGACGTGACCAGTAAGATCTTCATAATAACGAAATAAATAATATTGTACTAAATAATGAAGTAAACCACATTGTCCTTAACATTGTTTACATTTGTTTTTTAATTTATTAGCCGAAATTCTACAAAGATTCGGAAAAACATATACATGGGATCTCAAATCACGCTCAATGGGCCTTCGTCAAGATGATGTAAATCACCTCCATCTCTTACTTACTGTTATTGTGGTCGCGTTCTAAGTTGAGTCAAACATTTTGCATTGTCCCATCAGTCGGCCGCCTTTTTAATAGAGAACACTGGTATCGACATGACCGTGGATGAACTCGTTAGCGAAAGGAACAAAAAGCATGTATGTTCGTTTCGTCTTTCTTCGAAGGCAATGATTTCCAGAGTTCATTTCTCAACCGGTCACCTCTGTTCACGAAGGTCGAAAGATTTCCTTTTGCCAAACCTATGCCCGGTGCCATGGTATGTCATTCTTAATTGGTTCCTTGTTTGTTATTAGCATAATGCGCATTAAGTAATGAATCCCGCTATCTAAATAAGCGTCTTGTAAAACATCTGAAGGCACACAATATTCCGATGGTGGTAAGTGCCTTGACACAGCATGCACGGTTTCTTTATCTCCACAACTCCTAATCTCTGCGCAAATGTAAAATAGGTGGCGACAAGTTCGCACCGCAGCAACTTCACAATCAAGGCCTCCAATAATCAAGACCTCTTCAGTATGTTTGATAGTATCACCTGTGGAGATGACCCAGGTGTCAATAACGGAAAACCTGCTCCCGACCTATTCCTTGTTGCTCGCGAGAAACTCGGAAACCCACCGGTAAAACAATGCCTGGTATTTGAAGATGCAATTAACGGGGTTCAGGCTGCAAGGAATGCGGGGATGCAGGTATGCCTATCCTTCTCACTGATACAGTATATTGAATATCGGAAATTCAAACACAGGCACCACCACTATTCCAAATTCCTTTTAATTAGGTAATTTGGGTACCAGATCCAAACGTGGCAGCATTATGTCCAGGTGACAATGGTGCAAGTGAAGTGATCTTTTCTTTGGATAACTTTGTTCCTGAAAAATATGGTTTACCACCCTACAGTGATTGATTAATGATATCCTAAATTATTTATGATTGAAATAAAAAATTGTTACATGTATTAATCCGAATGGCATTGTTTATCACGTGATGTCATCGGAAAGCTGCAAGGTGAACGCACCAAAGGAATGTGACGGTTATACCGTTCAAACAACGGTTGCTAAATTATCGCATACGCAATCGATTGTTCCACGTGACTGTATAGTCACCTTTTTAATTTAATACCAACCTGGCTTCACACAGCGAGAGAAATGGGTACCTCATTTCAAGAAAAGTTTATACTTCAATTTATTCTAATACCATATACAGTAAATACGTAGGATGATAAAGGGGGCTCACGGAAATTATATATTTCCTTCACTAAATTGTATTACAGCGTACTTTCCGGAATACATCCAATCTTCTGCGATAGCATTCATTTTTTCTTCAACTCCTTCGTCAAGTCCAACGATAACGTCAGACTTGCTGGTTCTCATGGCTAATATCGGCGGTATTCCCTTTGCACTCGCCAATGGTCCGATGGCGTCTTTAAAAGACTTGGTGGTTTCCCACTTACAATCGTATACCAACTTTCTATAGTTCAAATCTCCTTTGAATATCAAAAGTTGAGATTTACACAAATCGGCATACAAGTCTGCCGCCTTCTCTTCAAGGTGCCAATAGGCGTATGGGGACGTCCAGAAAAAGTCAAAAGTAAGAATCCACCGGGAATTAGCAATATACGATTGCCATCGATTAGCGAGCTTTTTGAGAGATGACCTTTCCAGCTCAGAGGATATAAAAAATGTATCGCTTTGAAGCGTTTGGATGAGCCAGTTGAAATCGCGCGGTGTGGTGTCTGATACAAACCACGGAATTGGTTTGGCGTGAAGATAAATCTCCCGCGCGTAGCCAGATTGGATTAGCCAATCTGCAAAAACCAAATCTCCGTATAATTCGAACCCTAAATGGAAATGCGAAATGAGTAAAGAAAAGGTTTCCTTTTCTTTTCTTTTTTTTTTTACGCATGAAGATAATATGGATCAGTTGAGTTGCTTGTTACCAGCATTATCCAGAATAAGGTCGATCCTGGCGTCGCGAAATTTTGAAATCCATTTCCATGTCTTGTCCAAATCGTTTGCCAAGATATTTTTTTCCGAATCTTCCAAGTATTTCACTCCGGCCCCCTGCAACCTCTTAATATCGTCCTGGTTAAGGTGGGGAAACATGGATAAATCTGTCGCATTGCCCCAAAGCGAGATTTGGGCAAGTTCATGGAAGATAACACGATTTGTGCTGACATCCTTGTTACCTGTGTTCGTTGATGAAGAAACCAACTCATCAATACGTTTTGCGATCTCGACAATCGACTCAAAAGAAGAATAAAATGTATCTTTCTTTTGATGAAAATATGGGTCATAATCACGCCAATGCTTAGTTTTTAATAGTATCGAATAAATTCGGCGGTAAAGGTAGCATTCGGTAAATAGCCAGGTTGCGGTGTACCAGGTTTTGTCCTTGAAGTATGTGTTTAGGACAAAAATCCAAGTGTCAATATCTGGTCCATCATCTTCAATTGGACTTAAATTAGAGATCAATGAGAAAGAATGTTTAAATATTATGCACGACGCTTTCTAAGAGAGACTTGCTCAAGAGTTGCGCCTCAAACATACGTTAACGGCTTGTTTTCTTGCATCTGTGATTTCATCGCTTGCAGGGAATCGATGATTTCTTTGCATTCTTGAATTTTATTGGCATCCGAGGGATTAAGCGAATCGCGAGTTTGATGCATGTGATTGATAATTTTTGTTACAATTTCCGGCCATCGATACTTCACTGTTGTATGTGCGAAGCTTTTCTCATCTGTTGACCGAAGAGCGGGTCGTGGTGAGTTTTCCGGATCTACTGACATAACTTATTAAATGCCAGCAAAAAAGAAAAAAAATTTTTTAAAATAAAGTAGACAAAAATTTTTTGTTATAGAAATGCAAGCTCGAAATCCCGTATAACGACACACGAATTTACGCATGTTCAAACCTCGGTAAACGGGGGTCGACGATCCACAGTGAGATTGTATGCATTTGGCTTCTTTTGAATGGATTTATCGACCGTATTACTTATTACGGTAACATTATTTGTCGCTCATTGTTACCTGCAGACAAGCAAAGGTGGCACCTTCTTAGTAAGACTAATAAGACTCTTTGGTAATCACGTAATCGCTACGTATTAAATTCCAACACGTATCATATCATACCTAATATATCACAATTTTTGACAATTTTTTTAATACTGCATATAGTACAAATTATTATTATTATTATTATTATTATCTTGATAATATACTGATCATAAGATTATATTAAAAATCTAATAAAATCATGGATAAGTAACTATATAATTCTTGATTATTGTTATCTCAATAAACAAAGGATCGATGTGAAGATCTATTAGTGCTGATTAAAATTTCAAGTGAAGAAAAATATATTTAAATTTACAAAATATGTTTTATTTAAAATATATATATATTTTTTTTTTATAAACACTTATTAGTCAGTTTATTTGATTATGAAGTTCAGGTACAGGAGAGATACAAACGATTTGTAAGACTATATACCCTACACTATTACAAATAACAGTTTGCCGTGTGGCCCACTTCGACTAATATTTTAAACA